GGTGCCCCGATTTCAGACTCCCGATGTCTGGAACTGTAAGAAAATTGATTTCTGTGGTTTAAATCACCCAGTGAACGGTATTTCGTTTTGGCGGTCTAAGACAGTCACTCAGTGCCACTTCCACCCCATTTTGTGTTAGAGGCAAGTCACTGAGGCTGGTCTGTTTACAGGACAAGGGGACTAGAACATCACCTTTGACAGGAAGTATAGCAAAGAACTTGTAATCATGTTACAGTGTTATTCTCATCCAGTTTCTTTTGTTGACTCCATATTTTTATTCTTTACATTTAGGTCTTTATTTCATTTGGAGTCTACCTTTGTATACAGTGTGAGTTAAGTATTTTTTTCTCCATATAGTGATCCCGTTTTCCCAAAGCCTCAAAGAACAACCCAATCGCCCCCCCCACCCCCACTCCCAATGGAATGGCAGTGCCATCTCTATCATTTTGTTATGTCCCTACACATGCCTGGGTCTGTCTGAGTCTGTTCTGTTTCTTTGGTGTATTCATCTTGCACAAATACCACACTATTTTTATGGCTGTGGCTTCATATCTGGTTAGGCAAACGCTCCCCTCTTTTCCTTTTTAATGTTGACTTAGCGATTTGCACATCTTTATTCCTCCACACAAATTTCAGAATAGGTTTATCAAGTACCTCAAAACATTCATCTTCAATTTCGATTGAGATTGCTTTGAATTTGTTGGCTTATTTGGAGAGAACTGACCCATTAAGCTATTCTAGTCAAGGGCAGGAATGGTGTCTTTTTTTCTTTTTTTTTTTTTAGATTATCTTCTCTATCTTTTATCAGCATTTTAATGTTTTTTTCATCGAGGGCTTATGCATCTTTGATTAAGTTGATAAACTATAGTTTTCGTTGCTATTGAAAACTACCATTTTTAAGTTCTGTTTGGTTATTACGGTGTTGGTGAATGATGTTTATTTTTATAGATTGATCTTATATCGATCATGATAATCTTTTAGTTAAAAACCTTCATGCCCTTCTTTATAATGAGGGCGAGAAGTAGTTCTAAAATATTTTTGCCTGTTGTAAATACCAGTCATATCATCGATACAGGCCCATTTCTAGTATTTATCATTCTAATCAGCAAAGCCGCTGGTGCTGATCAAAGATAAAGATGGGTGAGTGCTCTGTAGTATTTTCATTGGAGCTGCTCTTTTAATGTAATGTCAGCTGACCACCCCTGGGGTAACTGACCATTGGGGTGTAGTTGAAAACCAACTCCAACAGCCACGAGGGGGCGCAGAGGCCTCATTTCTACAGGAGAAGGGTTTCTGTGCGCGGAGTGGGTGGCCACCAGGGGGCACTGTTATCAGGCAAGCACCTACTGTGTGCCAGACTCCATTTTCGACATTAGTAATACACCCATACTCAAGGCAAGCGAAGAGCTAATATTCTGAAAGTGGCGGAGTGTAGACAGACGAAATGATAGATAATTTCAGGGTGTAATAAATTCTTTGGAGAAAATAAATCAGGGTGACAGGATAGTGACTGAGTGGCTCCGTACATAAGGGGCTCAAGGACACGTCTCTGAAATTACATCTTAATGAGGATAAGGGACTCTGGGAGAAGAGCGTTCTGGTCAGAGGACAGGTGTCTGTGGGTCCTGGAGGAGAAGAGCCTGCTGGAGTGGTGTGAGCGCAGGCGAGAGAGGAGAGAGACCAAGGCAGAGCAGTGATTGGGCAGAGCATGACGGCGAGGACTTCGGCTTCTGCTCTGAGGCCAAGGGGAGCCTGAGGAGGATTGTGATACGAAAGACCCGAGACAAGTTGTTACGTGAAGAAAGTAAGGTTAAGGCGGAGCTGGTGTCTGCCTGTGTGTAGAGGAAAAGTAGAATCAAGACTCGCACTTGTTTGTATTTGCACGTGGAGATCCTGGAACAATACCAAGAAAGTGATAAAGCCGGTGACCTTTGGAGGAAAGAGAAGAGGGAACAGGAAGGATGGAGACTAAGGCGAGAGCGAGAAAAAGCTGCTGGCCGCTGACTGGGAAACAGGCCACACACTCTTGTTGGCAGGGAGCCTGGTGGAGGCGAGGGTGGCAGACCAGGTACACTGTGCCCTTTGGGGCTTATCCATGTCACAAGGCCTGTGAGTTGGTGTTCCCGAGGACATCTTGCTGACCAGGGGTGGTGGCCGTAGGAGCTAATGGTCCAGCTCCTCCCTGCAATAATAATGCTTATTATGTGCCTGGCACTAGTCCATCGTCTGTGCATTCAAACCTCAAGACAACCCTGGGAGGTAGGTACTGTTATAACAATCTTCATTTTACAGATATGGAAACTGAGGCCCAAAAAGATTAAGTGACTTGTTCAAGATCATACAGCTAGGAAGTAAGACAGATGGCATTTGAATCCAGGCAGTAATGCCAGAGTCCATGCCGCTTCCCAATTCTTCTTTTGTAGCCTTGTCTCAGTCAAGTTGTATTGCCCTTTAGATAGGCTCAGAGGGCTGTGAGCAGTCACTAGCACCTTAGTATGAATTAGTCAACCTCTTCCTGCCACTCAAGAATCGCAATCATCGCTATGGTTTATAGGGGCACTGTAGTGTAGGAGTTGAGTAGTTGGGCTCTGGGGTCATAATGCTTGGAACTGATACCCGGAATCATTTCCCAGCTGTGACTTTAGGCAAATGACATCACTAATCTGGGCCTCAGTGTCCTCATCTATGAAGTCCCCGTTTTCCTGATAAGAAAACCAAGAGTCCCAACATGGCACACCCAGGACTTCAGAACCTGGGTTTTGAGCACATTCTGCCTCCACAGAGATGAGGAACCAAAAATAGGTTCTGTGAGAGGGAAGTTCAGAGGTCCTGAGGCCCAAGCCGGTGTCCTGGGTGACGGGATCAGGTGCTCCAACGGTAGAAGGCGGGACACCTGGTCTCCATACACTCATTCTCGACACATTTGTGTGGAGGGAAGGGGGCACTGAAAGCCAGAGGCCTGTCTGCGCAGGGAGAGCAAGGCCACCTGAAGGGCTGCGGGGTGGCCCCGAGTGGGGATTGGGGCTGGGGCCCAGGTTTCACTCGGTAGAGGCAAGAAAGGAGATGCGCTTTGTCCTGGGGGGGCCACCCTAGCTCCAGCCCTGCCTGTCCTTCGTGCAGCCCCAGCCCCACACCATCTCCTGACCGTCCATACGCAGCTGGGCCACCGGTACAAGTAGACCACTGGTAAAATACTGAAATGTTTCCAGTTTTTGGTAAATAGCCACTACCCACTTCTGATGCCTTAGCCTCTCCCCGAGGACCCTTCGGGCCTCGCGATGCCCCAGCCCAGGGGCTTTCCTGTTGGAGCTCTGGGGGACTTGCCCGTCCTGATTGGTGATGCCCCTGCCAATATCTGGTGTCATCCCTGCCGCAGCCTCAATGCCAATCCCTTGGTCCACAAGTGCAGAGTCCTCAGATACGGTATCCATTTCACACAGACTCTGCACCCTTCACAGCCCTGCGTCAACGTCACTTTCTTCAGGAAGCCCTCCACGATCTCCTCACCACCCCAAGAATGAATGGCTCCCCCGGCTCCCTGGGCTCCCAAGTTTTTTGGACCATTCAGCACACTGTTCTAATCCCGCCTAGTGCGTGAGCACCTTGATGACAGGGCCCACCTTCTCATCTCGCGGCCTCCGTTCCAGGGGCCGTGCCCAGCACACAGTAAAATTCATAGAGTGGATGAAAGGTTCGTTCACGATGTGTGGTGTTGATATTCGGTCCTGTGCATCTCCCGTGGCCCAAGGACCACAGGCCGTTGTCATTCCTACAGGAGCCAAGTGCCACCCGTACACTGGGGCCCTGCTTGCTGGGACGGGGCCACGGCTGGGGGGAGGCGAGGACAGGACGTGAGTTCCCAGGGCGCAAGGTCAGCAAGGCCTGTTCTCATGCTCTCTGGCAGAGGAGTGATTCTCCATCTGTCTGGGCCAGCTGCTGGGACACGAGGAGGCGCAGCAGGGGACGGGGTGTGTGGGGGGTGGGGGTGGAGCTCAGGGAAGCCCAGAGTAACCACGGAGAGGAAAAACAGGCAGACGGTGGGTGTTATTGTTACAGAACCATTAAATACCACTTATAAACAAGCCAGGAGGGCGTGGGGCGGGGAGGACAAAGGTGGGCCACGCAGGCGAGACAGGGTCAGGGCGGTGCGGTCCGGGCCCGGTCCTGGAGGGGGCTCAGGCTTCGGTCACCAGAGGGGCTGGGCTGGCGGAGGCCTGGCTGCTTGTGGAGGCCCCGCAGCTTCACCAGCAGCTCCTGGATGAAGTCCTGAGGACAGGGCAGAGAGGGCTGAGGCCACGGGGAGGGGTGGAGGCCCCTGCCCAGCCCAGCCCCTCTGACCCGCGCCCTTCCTTCTCCTGCTTCCTGTCCGCGGGATGGGGTGGGCGTGAGGTTAGGGAGGGGGAGAGACGATAGAGACAGAGAAGAATGAGAGGGGAGAAAAATAGATAGAGACGGGAGAGAACAAAAGGGAGAAAGAGATACAAGGAATGAGAGAGACGGAGGCAGAGAAAGACAGAGACGAAAGGAGAGAGACAGGGAGAGATAGAGACAGAGATCCAGAAACAGAGACCCAGACAGAGAGACAGACAGAGACAGAGACAGCGAAACAGAGAGAGATACGGAGACAGACACAGAGGGAGAGATGAAGGGTCAGAGAAAAAACAGCCCCAGAGAGACATGGAGATGTTTCTCAGGCCAAGAAGCCACCAGGAGAGTCCCCAGGGACAGAGGCCTGAGCCGGCTCCAAGGCAGACAGATACACAGTGACGTTTGTCCCACAGGCGGCCCAGAGCTGGTTAGAGAAACATGAATATTTTTCCCTTTTAAAGCAGAGAAGGAAGTGGGAGGGGTTGGGCCTGGAAGGTGGAGCGGGGAGACCGAGGTGGGGAAGGAAGCCCCAGGGTGGCGGACACAGTAACAGGGGAGAGAAACGAGGGAGGCAGCACCCACAGACAGAGCACGGAGGAGGCAGAAACGGGAGACAGATCGGGGAGCGGCTCAGTGGGAAGGAGATAGTGGAGGCCCAGCGGCAAGACGGGGAGAGAGAACAGTGAGGAAGACAAAGTCGCCACTAGAGACGAGAGGGAACAGCTGTGACAGACAGGGCTCCCCGGAGTCCCCTGTGTGGGTCCTGAACTTGGCCAGCTTTTCCCTTGTCACCAGGTACCCCCTCCCCCATCAGGGTGCGGGGGGCCAGAACAGGGCCTGTAAGGGGGAAGGAAAACTCACCTCTGTGGGGTTCATGCACGATTTCAGGAGACCCTAAACAACCCCCACCCACGCAAAAAAAAAGTAAATAGTAAAGGACTAACAACACCTCCACCCCCAGCCCCTTCCCATTTCCAAGAAAGCCCCAAGCGACACGACAGTGGGAGTCAGACTGCAGGTGGGCTTCCCACCTGGCTTCGAGGGAGGAACAGGCTGAGGGCCTTATACAGTGGCTGCGGGGCAGGGCTGAGCCAAGAAATTGGACCAGCTCTAGATCCAGAGAAGGCCAGAAGGTCGCACAGCATTTCTTGCCTCCAGTAGAGCACAGGCCACAAAAGCCAGACTGCCTGGCTTTGGCTCCCATCTCTGCTCCTTCTGACTGTGACCCCAGGCCAGCGATTAAATCTCTGTGCGCCTACTTCATAGGGTTTTGTGAGGATTCAATAAGTTGATAAGTGTAAAGCAATTGCAATAGTGCCGGGCACGCAGTAAGTGCTCAGTAAACATGGTAACCATGGCATGAGTTGCAGGGAGGGGCAAGGTGAAGGACTGGGGGGCAGCTTTCCCCCACCCCTACCTGGATTTTCCGCCTTCTGTCCTCTTCACTGTCTAGTTCCAGCAGTTCATCAATGTTGACCTCATCCGGCATGTCTGCTTCCTGAGGCAGGAGGGAAGGCTGCTCAGGGGCCCCGTCCCCTCCCTCCCATGCCTTTTTCCAGAGTTCTGGGGGAGCCCCCGCCATCCCCAGGGCCCAGCTGGCGGGTTCTGGAGCAATAATGTGGCAGTCAGGGACAGCACCACCAAGGCGGGACATCTGGGTGTTGGGGGGAGGGGTGACAGATGGGTTGACAGAGGCCCAGGGCCTGTACCAGCTCTGATGCCTGGGCCCCCTGGACCTCGGGCCTGGCACAGGTTTCTCTGCTTGGCTCCAGTTCCCACAGAGAAATAGGCCCGGTTGAGTCTTGGAATGTCAGAATCTGGGATTCGGGAGAGGGGCTGGCTCTGCCCTTTCAAGGAAAAGTCTGAGCACTAAGCGTGGGGGAGGGAAGCGGCAGGCCAGAGCCTGCTGGGGCTGGCCCCTTGCCCCAGAAGACAGGAAGGGAGGACAAGGGGCCAAAGTGCGATCCCGTGTGTCCAAGGAGATGACCACTGGGCCCCTCGAGGTGAGCGTGATGGGCCTTGAACCCAATTTCGAGACACTAAGAGGGAGTCTCCTAGTATGGCCTCCTGGGGCGGAGGGCCAAAGGCAAGCTGGCTCCGTATCCCTGACAGGGAGAGAACCCAGCTGCCTGAGCGAGATCTCCGAGGCTGCAGAGTTTTCCTCCCCCACCCGAAGTCCCGCTGATTTCACTGCAGGCTTCAGGACCGGGGGTCTGGGTTTGTGTGTGGGAAAGAGGGTTCGGCAAAGGCCTGGCGTGTCTATCTGTGTTACATGCCTGTGGCAGTCTCTGTGTCAAGAGGCCAGGGCCAGCATGACGGTGCAGAGGTATGTGGCACCATATGTGTGGCCTGCAGTCCTACAGCCACTTACCCAGCCGCTGTGTGGCTCTGGCTTAGTTGTGTTTGTCTCACTGTCATGTGTCATGGGCAGCTATAGTGCCCACGGTCTGAGGATGACCTCACAGGATTCCACCTACACTAGCAACTGGACATATCTGTCCATCTGTGCGAGCCCACATGTGTCTGAGAACAGAGAGACTTCGTGTCACTGTGAGGGCCATGGCTTCCGCCACCTTCATTCACACTGTGCTGAGGATTTCTGCGTCCCGTGTGTCTGTGTACTGCTGTGACCATCAGGCACCTGGGACTGTGCTCTGCAGCACGTGTGTGTTGTACAAAGTGTGACTTCAAGCAGAGACTCAAGTGAAATGTCTGTCTCTCTGTAGCCTACGTGTCAACACGTGGGGCTATAGGTCATACCCCGTGTGCCTGGGGCAGCTGCAGTTTCTGCCATTGTATGTCCTTATGTACCTACAGCTTACACGATTTTCTGTCTGGGTGTAGCTGTAATTTCAGCAGTTTTATGTCTGTGAGTGGCTGTAACCTGTGTCATTGTGTTCGCATGTGGTCTCATTTTTGCCTTTCGGGAATAACAGAATCATTTAGTTGTAGCTGTTGTAGCTTGTACTGTGAGTCACTACAGCTACACACTACAGGCGGTGTGTATCTATGAAAAGCTGTAACTGGAGTCCTCTTGTGTGGGTGTAGTTACGTGTCTACATATGGCTGTGGCCTCGGCTATTGTGTCTGTGGGTGCCTGTTGGTGTCACATATGGTGATATGGAAGTGACTACAGCTTGTACTCCGGTAGCCTGTACGGCTGTTGTTTCTGTCGCTGCGTCTGTGAATGGCTGTATTTTGGCACTGTGCACATCTGTAAATACTGCTGCTTCCTTTGCTGTGCATCTCTGTGTGGCTGTACCTCCCCTGTCACCATATCTATTCTGGCTTTAAGACATCCCCTCCCCCCGCCCCTTTCTCCACATATGGCAGCTTGGACTCCACAATTTTGCCCCCTCATCTCCCAGGTGGTAAACCCCTGGCCCTGCCCAGATGTTTGGGCACATCTCTGGAGACGCAAGTATGTGTCTCTCTCTGTATGCACAAGCAAAGTGCCATTAAGGGTAGATGGCCAGGCCAATGAGTCCAGTGAACGCCACCCCCCCGGGAGTGTGTATGCAACAGTGAACACAAGCAACCGAAGACCCCGAGGGCGTAGGGTGTCCGGGACCTCCCTTACGCCCCCACACCCCACCCGCCTCACCCTGCCGCAGTACAGCTCCTCCAAGCGCCCGTCGATCCACTTCTCCACGTCCAGCCGCCGCTGCAGCTCCCGCCGGTCGTACTTGACGGTGACACGCGAGTGTCGTTTCTGTAGTCCCCCGGGGCTGCCCCCCGGCCCCCGGGCCCGCAAAGGAGCCTGCAGCTTGCTCAGCACCCGCTTGCCCAGCCGCTGAGCTGCCATCGCGTCCTGGCCCCGGTCCCCGCGCCGCGCTGTGCGCC